GTGACTTAGGGGGAAAAAGCTTCATTTTAGTTTGATGTCTCATTCATTGTGGGTCAGGTGGGCAGAGAAGTGTTGAATGTGAATCAGGGCATCGCTGGCATGAGAATACGACTCTTAGGATATTTCCTCTCCCCGCTGTGCATCAGGGACCATTTTCCAGACTTTCAGATGGGAAATAAGTAACTGGTGTACGAGGAAAAACTAAGTCATAAAATTTTGATGTTTCTTCTTTTCCCTCAGCTTTATTGAGGAATATATAATATGCAAAATATTACACTTCTAATGTATACATTCTGATGAGTTTGGACATATGCATGTACCATAATACCATTTCCATAATTAAGGTACTAAATAATCCATCACCTCAAAAATATTTCTTTCCATCCCCTTCATTTTTTGTGTGTGTGGTAAGAACATTAACTTAAGATTTACCTTCTTAACAAGATTTTAAGTGTACCATACTATATTGTCAACTATAGCCAGAACGTTGTACAGCAGATCGGTAGATGTTATTTGCCTTGTATCACTGTAATTCTATACCCATTGAACAACAGCTCACCATTTCCTACTACGCCAGCCTCTGCAAACCAAAATTTTATTCTATGCTCCTTTTGTGTATTTAATATTTCAAATGAGTGAATTCATGCAGTATTATGCAGTATTCGTCCTTCTGTGACTGATTTATTTCACTTAGCATAATATCTTCCAGGCCCATCCATTTTATCACAACTGGCAGGATTTCCTTCCTTTTTTTTTAAACCATTTCCTTTCTGAATAATATTCATGTTCATTAATGTATCAGAGTTGGCATGCATTGTGCAATTCAGAGTGTCATGGCAGAAAGTGGTTGGCAATGAGTGTGAACTTATACTGAGGTTGCTATCACGGGGGAAAACCTTTGCGTTTTTCATTCTAAACTGCTTTAATCTCTGCTGAGAGATGTGTAGGGGTTGTTTAATCTTTTTTTTTTTTTATCTGATACCAGCAGTAACATTTTTTATGCGGTTATACCTGAGATAGAGGTGCTGAGGGTGAATACAACATTAGGGAGTATGGCTAGTTAATATAAATACTCCCAAGAAATTTAGGTATACTTACTGCTCCCCAAATCAGGTGCCATATATTGGATTAGTAACGACTCTTTCAGATCTAAGACAGGCTGTGACTTTCATCTTAGATTTAGTCACCTATGCAAGCATGTCTAAAGCTCTTTGAACTTGAAACTGTTGAGGGGCCCTTCATGGGTGAATGATGGAACACATAAACTGTGATACCCCACGGAACAAGCTATTGATACAAAGAACAACATGCATGATCTCAAGGGAAGGATGCTGAGTGTGAAAAACCAATCACAGAGGTTACACACTATAAGATTCCATTTGTAAAACATGCTGGAAATAAAATTACAGAGATGGAGAACAGAGTAGTGGTGGGCAGGGGTGTCGGATGATGAGTGGGAGGGAGTGGGTGTGGCTACAAAGATACAGCCTTATGGAGAAGGGCAGTTCTGTATCTTAATTGTGATGGTGATTACACAAATCCATACAGTACATATGATAATCTGCATAGAACCCCCCCCCCCCCACACACACACACACTCATGAGTGCATGTAATACAGGTAAAATCTGAACCAGTTCTGGGGATTGTACTGTGTCAGTTTTTGAGTTTTGAGATGTTCTATAATGACTTAAGGTGTGACCATTTGTATTTTTTTGCTATTGACTTATATAAGTTCTCTATATATTTTGGAAGTTAGCCCAGCATCAACTATACAATTTGCACATATTTGCTGCCATTCAGTAGGTTGGCTTTTTATTTTGTTGATTCTTTCCTTCCTTTGCTACATAGAAGTTTTTTAGTTTGCTGCAGTTTCACTTTTTTAGTTTTTTTGCCATTGTGTTGGTGTCAACTCCAAAAAATTATTGCCAACTTCTATGAGAATGAGCTTACTGCCTATGCTTTCTTCTAGGAATTTTATAGTTTCAGAGCTTACATTCAAGTATTTAACTCAAAATTTTGAGTTAATTTTTGCATATGGTGTAAGATAGTGGCCCAGTTTTATTCTTCTGCATGTGACTTCACTGTTTTCCCAATACCATTTAGTAAAAAAACTGACCTTTCCCCATAGTGTATTCTTGGCTTCTTTGTCATAAATTAATTGACCATATATATTTGGGTTTAATTCTGGGCTCTCTGTTCTGTTACCATTGATCTATGTGTCTGTTTTTATGCCGAATGCCATACTGTTTTGATTACTATAGCTTTGTAAAATAGTTTGAAATCAGAGAGCGTGGTGCCTCCAGCTTTGCTCTTCTTTCTCAAGATGGCTTTGGATATACTGGATCTCTTGTCATTCCATATAAATTTTAGGATTTTTTTTTCTATTTCTGACATGAAAAATTTCATGGGGATTGCACTGAATCTATAGGTTGCTTTTAGTAGTAAGCTGATATTGTGACTACTTCCTTTTATCTATAAAAGTTTCAAAAAGTTGTTCTCAATTAAGGAACACATTAAACACCAATTTTCTAAATATTCATATCATGTAGGGAACAACTTCCTTCTTGACAATTTCCCTGTGATTACCAAAACAACATAAACAAAAACAAGGAAAGTCTTACTGATTGGTCCCAACATTGGGGGCCCAGTGTATAAAACCCCAGAACAGAAGAAGTCCCCAGAATCTGACAAACTCCCCTCGGAACAGAAACTCACCTTCTACACCTGACACCATGTGCTGCTCTCCTTGCTGCCAGCCCACCTGCTGTGGGTCCAGCGCCTGCCAGCCTTGCTGCAGCCTATGCTGTGGGTCTAGCTGCTGCCCGCCTTGCTGCCGTCCAACCTGCTGTCAGACCACCTGCTGTCGGACTACCTCCTGCCGACCCAGCTGCTGCTGCCGCCCTTGCTGTGTGTCCAGCTGCTGCCAGCCTTGCTGCCGCCCATGTTGTGGGTCCAGCTGTTGCCAGCCTTGCTCCCGCCCATGCTGTGTGTCCAGCTGCTGCCAGCCTTGCTGCAGCCGGTCCTGTGGTCTAGGACTGGCCTTACTTTCACCCTGCTGCCGCCCAACCTGCTGTCAGACCACCTGCTGTAAAACCACCTGCTGCCGACCCAGCTGCTGCTGCCGCCCTTGCTGTGTGTCCAGCTGCTGCCAGCCTTCCTGCTGCTGATCACCTTGTCAGAAAACCACCATCTGAGCATAACATCTTCGGCTGACTTGCCATTTTGGAGACTTGTTCACTCCCTAGACTTAGCAACCAGCATGCTTGACCATAATTTTCTGGGACTCATTTGCCTGATACAAGCTTCTGAATCAGCCTGATGGGGTGCACAGGAAGTCCCTGATCCTCTCCCTCCCGGGTTGGTGGATCATGTGCCAGCTGCCTGCATCCTCGATATGGAGCTATGGTCTCTGCTTTGAGTCTGTAGTCAAGGTCTTCACCCTCTCCCTCTGTGTAACTTAGAAAAACAAATTCTTATAATTTTTAAAAGGTTTTACAACTGATAAATAATCCTCATAATCTTATGGTCCTTATCAATGTAGTCATGCTTCTTGTAATAGGCTTTCTTCTTTTAGGATCACTTTGAACTGTATTCCTAACTGCAGGAGTCTTACCCTTTGTTTCTTAATAAATTCTATAGCATAAAATTCATCCATATTGTGTTTTATTTATTGCACCGAATTCCTGACACAGGGATATAAATACATACTGCATACTATATGCATTATCCCTACTGAGCATCGTAACAGCCCCACAAGAGGTATCTCTGTTTGTAGGGGGGAACCCCCGTTAATTGATTAAGGTCACGTAGCTAAGACTGGACTGACTCAGATCCAGGAAAGTCTTCTGTTTCTGCCCAAAGGCACGCACATTTACATCCCAAAGCAGCCTCGGGTGAATGTTGTCACGGGGCATGCACCACTCAGTAAATGCCCACATTCCCGATGCACTTCTCCCTGCTCTCTACCTTTCCTGCTAAGTGTCCCTCACCAAATAGGAGCTGCATCCTCTGCCTGCTACTCTATTCCTATGACATTCCAAACTGACCCGATGATCGTTCTGACTTAGATGATGTCCCTGACAAAAATGTGCTCTCACAAGAGTAGAACCTTCAGTCCAGGAGGGTCTGTAGCCGTGATGGGACGGGAAACACAGATTCCCAAGTGTGTCACTAGTGGTTAACATGAGGAGATTCACTCTGACGTCTGCCCAGCCCGTGTGTATTCCCATTCGATGACAACTACGTTAATGATATAGTAACGGCCATTGGGTTAAGGTACAGTCCACATCCAGAAGACAATATATCCATCCCGTATGTTGTCACCTCTATGGTGGTGTCGTTGCTGCACATCTAAGAGACCAGTCCAATTTTTTACCAGGCCAGCAATTTCTGTCACGTGATGCACGGTAGGACAAGTAGATCCATGGTTATGTGCCTATTGTTGACATTGTTCATCACAGAGTGGGTCCCTTGGCCCAAAGTGATGCTATTCAGGATCCTATGACAATACTGTAAGCTGGTGGATAGCACTGCAGACAGGGAAGACAATTTTTTTTTGCCAAACGTGCAATCAAGGTAAGGAAGGATTGCCTTTTCAGTGTGGAAGTGATCCGAGTGGAACACTTGGGTCCACTTGGGGTGGTTAGTCTTCATAAATGATGCTATCGATACCAACTCACCTCTTGTTCCGACATATGATGACAGCACATCCAGCGGAGGCAGCTGTGGGGAGACGGGACCTGTGCTGTGGGTCCACACCTGCCTCAATCCCTGCCACCATGGCTACTTTGTTCATGCCCCTGTGCAAGTACCGGCGCACCTGAGGACCTGGACAACGTGAGTTATACCAACTTGTACTTGTCCAGAGCTTCCTAAGTGGTGGATGCTCTCCGGGAGCACTGATGTGGCACACAAAGAGGAATCATCATCTGCTGACACACCATCTCCATGGACACGATTTTTCTCCAAATGCCTTTATCTTCCAATCATGCTTCTTCCAGGGGTAAGATAAATCAATCAGGCCTTTCACCATTTGCAAGTAGCCGATAAACATCGTTTTCTGAGGCCATCGACCACCTCCCATACAAAATTACACACACACACACAATCATTGTACTAATCACAGTTCTTTTCATTGGGAATATATCCTCTTTCCACTGCCTTTGCAGACCAAAAGTTTTTCATCTGTTGCAGTAAAAATTCTCCATCTGGCATAAAAGCTGCCATCGGGGCCATCAGTCACTGAAGTTTAGGTAGTCCGTGTTCATATATATAACCAAGTAGGGTTTGAAGGAGTCAAATGGAATTGTGCTGAAAATTGCCACTCATGTATTTTTTTAGTCACTGAGATGAGCACTAAACTCTCCATGGATGTGCCATGATTTCTCATTAATAACTTTGTTTTAATATTTATAATTTGTAAACCGAGGTTAGTTTGCATTAACTCAAGGATTCAAAGATTACCAAAAGAGATACTATCTTAGATTATTGAGAAAGAGAAGAAAAACTATTTTCTATAAATAATAAGGGTGATGAATATATTTTTTCTGTAACACCCCTTGAAAATATAAGAATTGGGGTCTCTCATAAAGGTATCTGACTACAGACAGACTGAACCAGTAATATAGGTGGGAGGGGGAAGAGAAAGAAAACACTTCTAGATTAATCCATTGGCAGACATATATGTAAGATGGTAGCTGAAAAATGAAGATATATTTGTAAGAGATCACACAGTATATTGAGAAACAATTCATGAGTTGTTTTAAGTGTATTCTATCTTTACCCCCAAAACATAGAGCTAGTGAGTGCCAGAACAAGAATTGGGGACTCTTCCATATGAATTTAATTCCCTTAACCAAAATATGTTGCATTCTACTTTAGAAAACTTACGGCTGAGGATAAAACAGAGGTAAATAGATGCACAATCTTGGTGGCACTATAGTATAGAAAATGGATAAGGCAAACTAGAAGCACCTTACAAAACAGCATAGTCACGAGTAATAAGAATGGTAAGATATGGCCGAGACTGTACAGGATAAGGAGATCTCATTCCACTACACCAGAATCCGATAACACCTAGAATATTTTGAGAAACAACTCTGAACTTCATCTTACAAATCAAGATCCATTTTCAAGGTTAGTGACAAGGGCCTTGGGGGAAAATGCACATCATAAAATTCATGCAGTCAACAGGGAAATGCTGTCCTTTGTCAGGAAGCATCGCACGAGGCGAGGAAACACATGTCGGAGATCAGAGTGAAGGGAATGCGATGCCGCAGCAGGCCTATCAGGGGACAAGGTGTGTAATGAGAGGAGGAGCTGCTCTGCAATGCCTTCTGACTGAGCAAAGGGATCCCGATGAGCAAAAGATGCAGGAGGCCCAGGAGGGTGGACGCTCAGATAAGGAAGCTGAGTCTCACAATCATCATATGAAGAGAAAGTAGCCAATTCTACATTATTTCATTCATATAAAGTTTAAGAACAGCCTAAACTCATGACCTCTGGGGATGAGTGAGCCCTGTAGTTTGAAGGGGATGAGGGAGAGATTCTATCTCAACCAGGGTGACATGGATGTGTTCACTTTGAGAACTTTTATCAAGTTGAAAATTAATAACAATTTACCAATTTGGAAATTATATATTTGAGCACTTTTTAAGATGAATGTTAAGCCATAAAAACTTTTGCACATGTTCATACTCAATGATACTTCAGGTATCATCTTTCCTGATCTAATTACTACCTTAATGACAAAAAGAAAGACAGTGTGCAGTCAGTGACCTAAGTGACTCTGGAATAAACAGACTGGGCATCAAGTCACCAACCACTGCGACCTGCCCAGGCAGCAGGCGCTCTAGGGGGCAGAGGACCCACCCGATTATGAAGCAGGAACATACTGATAATGTGACCATTTCTTATTTATCTATAGAAAGGTTCCTATGAGTTATTCTCAATTAAAAAAAAAGATTAAGAACTTATTTTGAAGAGATTAATTACATTTAGGGAACAACTTCCTCTTCAAAATTTTCCAAGTGACAACACTAAAAATGTAAACAAGAACAAGGAAAACCCGGGCCATTGGTGCCAACATTTGGGGCCACAGGTGTAAAAGCTCCAGAAAGAAAGGAGTCATCAGAATCCGAAAAACTCACCTCTGAACAGGATCCCACCCTCCACACCTGACACCATGTGCTGCTCCCCTTGCTGCCAGCCCACCTGCTACAGGCCCACCTGCTGTGGGTCCAGCTGCTGCGGGTCCACCAGCTGTGTGTCCAGCTGCTGCCAGCCTTGCTGCCGCCCATGCTGTGTGTCCAGCTGCTGCCAGCCTTGCTGCCGCCCATGCTGTGTGTCCAGCTGCTGCCAGCCTTGCTGTCGCCCATGCTGTGTGTCCAGCTGCTGCCAGCCTTGCTGTCGCCCATGCTGTGTGTCCAGCTGCTGCCAGCCTTGCTGCCACCCAACCTGCTGTCAGACCACCTGCTGGAGAACCACTTGCTGCCAGCCCAGCTGCTGCTGCTGCCCTTGCTGTGTGTCCAGCTGCTGCCAGCCTTCATGTTGATGAGTCTTCCCCCAAGAACCACCAACTGGAAATAATACCATCTGTGAACTGATTTGCCATGTGGACAATTTCACTTCCTAAACTTCGAAGACAGCCAGCATACCACCACTCCCATTTCTATCATGCATCAGCCTGCTCAGAGGCTTGAGATGCAGTGTAGAGGCCTTCACTCGGTTCTCTTTCTCCCATGCTATGGATCATTTGCCAGCTTCCTGCATCCTTGATATGGAGTCATGTTCTTGCTTTGACTCTTAAGCCAGGATGTCTTGCTCCTTCTAAGTAATTCATCTTCACAATATTTAATAGGTTTCTGCAATTGATCAATATCTTCATAATCATAATATGCATAGTTTTTATCCTATTTCTTCTTTTCACAATCACTTTGTAACCTCTCCCTGGATGCAGGGAATCTTACACATTCCTTAATAAAATCAGTACCTTTTAAATCCCATATTGTGTTTTCTTTTACTGTACAGTATTCCTGACATAGGAAGTCATATACCTATTGCACACCATGTGCAGCATCCAACTAGAGCTGCAAAATGGACCTCCATGAATTATTATCTATTGTGTGATGTCATGTAATAATGGACAGACTGAGATCCAGGATGGGGTCTTCTGTTCCTGCTCAAGGCACCAATGCTCACAGGTCAATACAAGTAGCAATGATACTGAGTGCTGAGGTCTAGCAAGAGTGCAATTAATTTTCTACCTCAACAGTGGCAGGAATAATCCCTCATATGTACAGATGATGTTGTTTACAACATTCCTCCCGTGTCAGGTCCCTGCAGCGACATGCTCGGGCAGCAGGGACCGCATCTGCAGCTCTCATGAGTGCAGGGAGCCTTTCCTGCCTCAGGCGCTGTCCAGCCACTCATGCAACTCCTCTGGCCACTCTCACCACTTTATTTAATATATTACGGAAAGTCCTAGCCAGAGTAATTAGTAAAAATAGGTTTTTCTTAAACAAAGGCATCCAAATTGGTCATGAAGAAGTAAAACTGACTCTATTTGCAGTTGAAGTAATATTACATATATTTTTTAAAACCTAAAGATGACTCAGAAAACTTTTAGAACTAATCAATAAATTCAGGAAAGTTACAGGTTACAAATATATATATATTGCATTTTTATATACTAGCAATGAATTATCAGAAAGAGGAATTAAGATAATTTCATTTCTATTTGCATAAAAATGAATAAAATAACTAGGAATAAATATACCAAGAATGTGAAAGACCTTTACCCTGAAAAGTAAAGATATATATGAAAGAAACTGAAGACCACACAATCAAAAATATATTGTATGGTCGTGGATTGGAAGAATTAATATTGTTAAGTGTCCAAACTAAAAACAATATTCAGGTCCAGTACTATCCATATTAAAATCCTAATGGCATTTTTCACAGAAGTAAAAATATATTAAAATGTATATGGAACCCCAAATATCTCTGACTAGCCAAAGCAGTCCTGAGAAACAAGAACGAAGCTGGAGGTATCTTGCTCCCTGATTTCAAATGATATTACAAACCTATAGTAATCAAAACAGTATGGAACTAGCATAAATACAGACATATATCAATGGAACAAAATACAGAGCCTAGAAATAAACCCTCATATAACGGTCAATATATTTATGACAAAGGAGCCAAGAATACAAAATGGGAAAGGGACAGTCTTTTTAAAAATGGTGTTGAAATAAAACTGGGCACTCACATTGCAAAAGAATGTTACTGAATCACTATCTTACAGTATAGCATACACAAAAATTAACTCAAAATGGATTAAAGACTGGAATGTAATACTGGAAACCACAGAATTCCTGGATAAATGCATAGGCAATAAGCTCCTTGACATGGGTCTTGCCAATGGTTTTTTGTGTTTTTTGTGTGTTTTTTTTTGATATGACACCGAAAGCAAAGACAGCAAAATAAACAAGTGGAACTACATCAAACTAAAAAGCATCTGCATAGCAAAGGAAACCATCAACAAAATGAAATGGCAAACTACTGAAAGAGAGAAAATAAATCATACATCTGATAAGGGTTATTATCCAAAATACATAGAGAACTCATAAAACTCCATAGCAAAATGAAGACAAAACTCCCAAACTCATAAAACATTAAATTTAAAAATAGACAGAGGATCTGAATAAATATTTTGCCAAAGAAGACATACAGATGGCCAAGAGGTACACGAAAAGGTCCTCACATCACTAATCTCAGGGAAATGCAAATTTAAACCACAATGAGATATCACTTCATACCTGTTACAAGGATAAATAAGCGAAAAGACAAGACCTCACACGTGTTGGTGAGGATGTGGAGAAAAGAAATCTCTTGTGCACTGTCGGTGGAATTTTAAATTGGCATAGCCACTGTGGAAAACAGTATGGATGCTCCTCAAAAATTAAAAATAGAACTGCCTAATGACTCAGCAATGCCACTTCTGGGTATTCATCTGAAAAAAAGCCCCACTAACTTGAAAAGATATGTGCACCAACAATGTTCATTGCAGCATTATTTATAATACCCAAGGTATGAACACAACCTGCATATCTATCACACACACCCTCCCCCCTGAATATTATTCAGCCATAAAAACTACATCTTTCCATCTATCACAACATAGACCTAGAAGGCATTATGCTAAGTGAGATGAGTCAGACAAATACGAAAACCATATAATCTCTCTTATATCTAGAATCTAAAAATAAAACATTGGTGGTAGCCAGTGGTGGGGACTGCAGGATGGGCAAGATGGGTGAGAGGGTCAAAGGTACAAACTTCCAGCTATGAAAGAAATGAGTCATGGGGCTGTAATGTCCAGCATGATGACTACAGTAAAAAATACTGTATCACATATTTGAAAGTTGCTAAGAAAGTGGATCTTTAATGTTTGTTTGTTTTTTATTTCAGAGATGAAGGAAGAGGGAGAGATAGATAGAAACATCCATGATGAGAGGGAATCATCGATTGGCTGCCTTCTGCACCTCCCTGCCCACTGGGGATTGAGCCTGCAACCCAGGCATGTGCTCTGACCAGGAATCAAACTGTGACCTCCTGGTTCATGTGTCCACACTCAACCACTGAGCCACACTGGCTTGGCAAGACCACTGAGCCACACTGGGTTGGCAAGAGAGTAGATTTAAAAAGTTTTTATCACAAGAAAATTAATAGCTATGAATGCTGAAAAATGTTAATTAGACTGATTGTGCTGATCATTTTGCAAATATCAATTCAAAATGTTCTACATCTGAAAGTAATATCATTTACTATGTCAAGTATACCTCAATAAAAAATAAGCTGAGATACTTACAAGTAGAACTCAGAAGGCTCAAAATATCAGAAATAGCAGGAGGCAGTGTTCGTAGTGAAATGCAGAAACACTGTCCTAGCCTTCCTGGCCTGTTGACTCTGTGCTTTCCCTATGACATGGCAATTCCACTCTGGCATATGTGCCTAGAGGAGAGAAAATGGGGCAGAAACACATTCTAAAACGTATGTGATAACTTTCTACGTTTGTTGAAAAGTATAAATATACATACTCAAATTTCCCTTGGTCATCATTTTATCTCGCTTTTCGCCTGAATTTATGAAAGAAAGTATGTGCAACTTGAGAGGTATCACCTGAGATCCCTATTCAGCTAGAAAACAGAGATGCAACATGAATGGCTTGATGCTCAGAAAACCAGTGGATGGCTTCTGCCTCTTTTCTCCTGGTTGGGTGCTGATTTACATATGAAAAACGGTGGGCCAAGGACCCAAGAGTCTCTGGCAGAGTTGGGCAACACATTTCTAGTAGGAGGCTTCAGATACATATAGGTTGAAGCCTTGAATCCACTTTTCTGGGAGATCAGACTTAGATTCAAGCAAGGCTTCATTAATCACAGAACCCATTAACTCCTGACCACTCAGGGCACCTCCCAACCTAAATATGGTTAAAGGAACAACACTGAGAAGAGACCACTATCCTGACCTTCTTCAAACCAGCAGGAAGTAATACACGACCAGATGACGTCACATGACCAGAAATGTTCTGGGGATGAAACTGATTGTCCCGTTTCTAAAATGATTCTTAAGTAGTATTCCTAATTAGGGAGAAGATTAAACAGTAATTTACAGAACGCTCAAAACACGGGGAACAACTTCCTCCTTGACAATTTCTTTGTGACTATAAACAAGGAAACAACAACAAGGGAAGTCCAGCTTATTGGTCCCATTATTGGGGGTCCAGAGTATAAAAGCCCCCAAAGAGAAGACACCATCAGAATCTGAGAAACTCACCTCTGAACAGAAACCCACCCTCCACACCTGACACCATGTGCTGCTCCTCTTGCTGCCAGCCCACCTGCTGCAGGACCACCTGCTGGAGGCCCACCTGCTGTGGGTCCAGCTGTGGGTCCTGCTGCTGCCAGCCTTGCTGCCGCCCTTGCTGTGGGTCCAGCTGCTGCCAGCCTTGCTGCCGCCCTTGCTGTGGGTCCAGCTGCTGCCAGCCTTGCTGCCGCCCTTGCTGTGTGAGCAGCTGCTGCCAGCCCAGCTGCTGTGGGTCCAGCTGTGGTGGGTCCTGCTGCTGCTCACCCTGCTGCCAGCAAGTTTGCTGCAGTCCCGTGAATGTCTGCAGAACCTGCTACCACCCCACCTGCTGCTGCGTGCCTGGGTGCATCAGCTATAGCTGCGGAGCCAGCTGTGGCCAGCCCTGCTGCTACTGATCACCTGGCCAGACAACCACCATCTGCACACATATCATCTGTGAACTGACCTGCCATTATGGAAACAAATGAACCTTCTGGGCTTTGTTGACAACCAGCAAGCGAGACCATAATTTCTGTGACTCATCTGCCTGTTTAAAGAGTCAGCTGGATGGAGTGTTCTTCCCTCAGTTCTCTTCCTCCCGTGTATGTGGATCTTGCCCCCACTTTGTGCATCCTCAATATGCAGTCATGGTCTTGCCTTTGACTCTGAAGTCAGGACCAATGGCTGAGTCAACAAATCTTCCTATTCCATTAATAGGTTTCTATAACTGAATAATCATCCTCCTAATCACAATGCCTTACAATGTAATCATGATTCTTGTATAAGACTTTCTTCCTTCAGGATCACACTGAATTGTCTTACCAGATGCAGGACTCTTCTCTATGTGTTTCTTAATAAAGTCTATACCATAAGCCATCCATATTGTGTGTATTTATTTACAGCATTCCTGATTTAAATACATATTACATACTACATGCATCATTCATTCTGAGCACAATAGCTCCCACAATTTCAGAAAAACAAAGTCATTGCATAATGTCACAAGCTAAGAATAATGACCAGACTCAGATCCAGGACTGGGTCTTCTGTTCCTGCTCAAGACACTGACGTTTACATGTCAAAGATGTAGAGGTCTGAGCCTCGGGTTACAATGCCCTTGGTAAGCTGTGGTGTTGCCATTGCTCAATTATAGCTTTAACATTAGATTATGTTCCTGATAGAATGTGCTTTCATAGGAGTAAAGTTACCAATCCAGAAAAGCCCAAAGGCCTGATGGGATAGGAAGCCAAGATTACCAAGTATATCACAGGGGGTAAAGTGAGAGGTCACCTTTACTTGCACTCATTGCTTCTGAATCCATGGATAGTAACCTTTATGGATACATAGAGTACTACATATATGTCAACCTAACAATGGTTATTGGGTCAAAATACATACCACATTTAGAAGGCAATATATCAACCCTACAGGTAATCACTCTATGGTGCTGTGTTTGCTACACACCTAGAACACTATTACAATTTTTTAACCAGGCCAGTAATTTCTCTGTCATGTGATGTATGATAGAACAACTAGATCCATGGTTATGTGCCTATTTTTGACCTTGTTCGTTATAAAGTCCCTGAATCAAAAATGTTGCTGTCCAGCATCCTATAACCATATAGTGTACTCTGGTAGATAAGACTGCAGACAAGGAAGATAATTCCACACACCAAACATGCAATCATAGAAAAAAAGAACTGCTGTCTTTTCAGTGTGGAACTGGTACAAGTAGAACATTGCTCTGTGTGGGTGATTACTTTTCAAGATGGTTATTATAGATAAGGATTCAATACCATTCTCTGCTTATGACAACAGCACATAGAGCAGAGGTGCTGTGGGGAGAGGAAGTCCTTGCTCTTGGTTCACACATAGCCTCTGTTCTTTCCTCCATGGCTACTTTGCTCATGCTCCCTGTGCAAGTGCTGGTGCACCTGAAAAGGGACACAGGCTGAGCTGTATCAAACTCATAGTTGTTCAGTGTCTCCTAAATGGTGGCTATGCTCGGGGTGCGGGGGGAGCGTTGGGCATTGAGGTGGGACAGAATGTGGAAACACTTTCTGTCCACAGACCATCTCCCTCTACATGGTCCTTCTCCAAATGCCTATAGTCCAGCCTTGCTCCTTCCGGATTCAGCCAATCAGTCAAGCCTTTCACCACTTGCAAATAGCCATTTACATCGTTCCATCAGGTTGGTTTTTGTTTGTTTGTTTTTGCAAAAAATTTATACATATATAAGTAATACTCAATGTATTCAAAGTTCTTTTCATTGGAAATATTTCCTCTGTCCACTCACTTTGAAACCAGAAGTCATTGATCTCTTGCCATAAAAACTCCATTGGACATAAATTCTGCTATTTTACAGAGGTAAATGAAAGCCATAGTATGCATTCTCAAAGAAAAAATATCCTGGAAAAGATTCAAGTGACCATAGTTTATTTGGGATGCATGGATCACATTGGCAGGGAGTTGAGAGAATGATGAGGCAGAAACGTGTATAAAGCCAGTATCAAGTTTACAACAAAGTGCAAACCTGAGGGAAAAGTCTCCTGAAGTATGGAAAACACACACTTTGGAATTGTCTTACTTGACAAACGAAGGAGCCAGAGTCTTTATAAAAAGGTCCCCAGAATTACTGGGTGAATGTTTTTGTTAGGTGACATGCACTGACATCATGACTTTCTGCTTCAGCATGAATATAACCCTAGGACATAAAAGTGAACATCTGGCGGGAGGAAATTGGTCTGAGCACACTAAGCCCCAAAATATGTACAAGTCAATTTGGAGAGCTATATATAACAAATGACTAATTAGTGGGTTGCTCAAACAATAACATGTATTTCTCACAGTTCTGCAGGCTGGGATATCCAAGATCAAGGTGCTGGCAGGGTAGGTGCCCACTTAGGTGGATCTACCTCCTGGTTGGCCAATGCCTGCTTTATTTCTGTATCCTTCAATCACACACACACACAGAGAGAGAGAGAGAGAGAGAGACAAGACTCTGGTCTCTTTTTGTATCAGAGCACTAATCCTATCATGGGGGACTTGCCCTCATATCTTCAGCCAAATCTAATTACCTCTCATAGATACTGCCTCCAAATGCCATTACATTGGATACTAGAGCCTGGTGCACAAAAATATGTGCACTCGGGGGGCTCCCTCAGCCCGGCCTGTGCCCTCTCGCAGTCTGGGACCCCTCAGGGGATGACCACCTGATGGCTTAGGCCTGCTCCTTGGGGGATTGGGCCTAACCTGGCAGTCAGACATCCCTCTGACAGCTCGTGACCCCCTCGGGGGATGTCCACTTGCCAGCAGGGAGCAGGCCTAAGCTGCAGTCTGACATCCTTAGCGCTGCTGAGGAGGCGGGAGAGACTCCCACCACCACCGCTACTGGCAGCCATCAGCCTGGCTTGTGGCTGAGCAGAGCTCCCCCTGTGGGAGCGCACTGACCACCAGGGGGCAGCTGCTGCATTGAGCGTCTGCCCCCTGGTGGTCAGTGTGTGTCATAGTGACCAGTCATTCCTAGTCATTCTGCTGTTAGGGTCAATTTGCATATTACCCTTTTATTATATAGGACTAGGGCTTCAACATATGAATTTTGAGAGGAAACACTCAGGCTGTAAAAGTGAGGTAACTGGAAACATCATCTGCAATCTCTCCTTGATACTCTCAACCTTCCTCTGCTTCTTCAAATTGTGAACATCCACAATTTCTAGATTAAGAAGAATAATTAGGAAAGGAAAAAGAGGAAGAGAATTCTACACCCCACAAAACTAGAAAAGGAAGAAATAAGGAAGATCAAAGTTAATAGAGAAAGAAAATAACAAAGACAAGAGTTGAAAAAAAAATAGACTAAGAAGACAATAAAAAGAATCAATGAAACCAAGAGCAGGTATTTTGTAAAGAAAGGAAATTGAGAAACCTTTAGTTAGACTTGCTAAGAAAAATAGTAATAAGACTCAAATAAACAAAATCAGAAATGAAAGAAACAATGCTACAATTGATATCACAGAAAACCTACCAAGAATAATTTGTAAAGAAATTGAAAATCAGAAGTCATCCTATATAATAAAGAGCTAATATGCTAATTAGACCGAACAGCAGAATGACCATTTGGACATCCTTCCAGACAACCTTCTGGACGAAGCTGGGGCTGTGAGGGCTGGTCAAGGAAGCCAGGACTGCAAGGGCCAGCCGAGGCTGCGAGGGGCTGAGAGTGCTGGCCAAGTCAGCCGGGGCTGTGAGGGCCAGCCGAGGCTGTGAGGGCCAAGCCCCTTGCACGAATTTTGTGCGCCAGGCCTCTAATATTAGTAATAAATTGACTCCATAATAGAAAACCTCCCACAAACAAAAGTCTACAAGCAGATGGCTTCACTAATGAATTCCACCAATCATTTAAAGAAGAATTAATACCAATGTTTCTCAAACTCTTCAAAATAACAGAAGAGGAAGGAACAATTTCCAATCTCATTTATAAGGCCAGCATTATCCTGATACCAAAACTAGACGAGGACAACAAAGAAAGAAAATTACATGTCAATATCCCTGATGAGCATAAATGGAAAATCCTCAATAAGATATTAGCAAAAAGAATTCAATGAAAGATTGAAAGACTCATACACCATGATCAAGTGGAACTGATTCCAGGGACGCAATGGTGGTACGACACCTGCAAATCAATGTGACACACCACATTAACAAAGTGAAGGATAAAAATCCTATGACTGTCTTAATAGAGGCAGAAAAAGCATTAGCCAAAATTCAATACCTATTTATTATAAAACTATCAACAAAGAGGGTATATAGGGAATATACCTCAACATACTAGTGGCCATATATGAAAAGCCCACAGCTAACTTCAAACTCTATTGTGGAAAGCTGAAAGCTTTTTATATAAGACTAGAGGCCCAGTGCACGAATTTGTGCATGGGTGGGGTCCCTCAGCCGGGCAGGCAATTGGGGCCAATTGGGGCAACAGGAGGTTGGCCAGCGGCAGGGGCCGAGGGAGGTTGGCTGTGGGAGCACATGATCACCATGGGGCAGCTCCCTTGGTGGTTTTATATATATATATCAGACACAAGACAAGAATGCCCACTCTTACTTAACATAGTATTTTATTCAACATAATATTGAACTCTTATTCAACATAGTATCACTGCGAGTCCTAGCCAAAGAAATTAGTAAGAAAAATAAGATACCCAAATCAGTAAAGAAGAGGTCAAACTGACTCTATTTATAGATGAGGTAATATATAATGAGAGAAAAACATAAAGACTCCACCAAAAAACAGTTAGAACTAATCAACAAATTCAAAAAATTGCAGTCTATACAGTCAATATACAAAATGCTGAATTTCCACACATTAACAAACTATCAGAAAGAGAAATTCAGATAATAATTCCACTTACAATTGTAT